ACAAACGGAAAACCTTATCAGTTCGAATGCCGATGCCTGGAAATTGGACATAGCGCCTAAGACGGCTTCGTCAATCTTCGGCGACTTCCATCTCTCCAACTTGTAAGCCTCATTCTGTAAGCCGCACCTTGATTGCAGCGTCTTAATAAGGCTAGCCAAGATACTGATCCGAGAAGTGTCCTGTACGTCTGAAAAGTACGTAAGCACGTAATCCCATTCCCTGAAGAACATCTCATCTTCAAGAAACGTCAGAAGAACATAAACCTTGAGTTTGTTGAACTCCCCACTCACAGACCAAGGAAGCAGCTCATTTCGAAAAAGGTATTGTAGATGTTTTGAAGAGAAAACATCCTCTACAGCCGAGCTCGTCAACTCTGTGTTGTCTCTGCCTTTCCAGTTCTGAGAAGCGAGTAAATCAAATACATGCAACCCATAGGTCCCTACTAAACCCGTAAACAAATTCACAGCCTCGGTCTTTTCCTACAAAATGTAAGGGCTAGTCAGTGAAATTCTCAAACCGAAACAGAAGTATTACCGAGTTTTTTATAAAACCAAAGCCATCGGCAACAAATGGCTTAACAACCTTGTTGAAAATCTGGCTTCTCTTATCGAGGTCCGAAAACGAGTTGAAAATAAGAAAAAAGCGTAGCACACGGTCATTGACTTGGCTGTTGTTCGCAAGAAATAATGCCGAACACTCCTCCCGAAGACAATCCCAGAACGCAGACAGCGAATTATTGTCCAGTGCACCCACAATGTCGACAATACATTTCCCTATCTCTTCAACAAACTTATCGGATAAAAGCAAAGAGGATGTCCTCTGGACGTCTGTCCGAACGTAAGACTTCCACAAGATTCCAAATAAGACGCTTTCAGTGAAAAAAGGTTGCAACGATGAATCCTCTGCACCCAGGAACCTGTAAAATGGTAAGTGAAAAACTACAAGATTAATAAAAGTTTGTACCTTTTCTCGTGCGACAATAGCCACATAAAACACTCCTTGGTCGAATTAAGTAGAAGCATTCCCTGATCGAATGTCCAAGAGGCCTCCTCACATCCTTTCCAAAGATTAGTGAAAAAGTCGACAAAATATCCTTTCGGTGGAGATAGTGCAGCAGGAGGAATAAGTGAAAGAAGCGGCAGCAGACATGGATAAGAAACCTGTTGTGAACCATAGCATCCATGACGGAGAAAAGCCCAAAACCTTTGTTGCACAATTTTCCTGATAGAACTAGATTCCCAGGTCTGAGGAAACCGTTGTGTGAAAACTAGTATCAAGTCCCACATAGCCTGATGGCAGCCAGGGTCTTTCTCTTGAAATGTCCCAAGAATAAATTTGGCAGCCACTTCCATGTTGTCGTTTGGGAGAACGTGGGGGACGTGTTGTATGTAGACCTGTATAGCTTGATATACGGCCGAACGCGTACGAGATTTCCCAGATTTTGCCAAACCTTGAAACATTTTGTGATCTCGAAACAGCTTAGCTGACGCCGTCACAAGCATTTCATTTGTGGTTGCTCTTTCCTCCCCGGTTTCCGATTCGACCGAAGTGAAGAGAATGGTGAGAAGAGCCGATAAAGAAAGGAGGGTGGAAGATATAACCTGAAATAATAGAAAGTGAAAAATGTGACGGCGAACACTAAAAGATTACCCGTTCATACTTCTCAGCTGACTCTTCTGCTGGAGTTGATTTATCAGAAATCGTCTGCGGGGTCAATTTTAGATTATCGTCGATGTAAACAAGGATATCTGTCGCACAGAACGTCAGAGCTTCCAATCGTTTCTTTTGACCTGGAAAAGCAGCCTGGACAGTTGATTTGAGAGGAGCAACAACATATGAAATACACAACCTGAAGTGCTTGCTTAGCAGCGTCAGAAACCTCGAAGAACGGATCGAAATGTGACATCCACCAAGCTCCCATTAAGGACCGCAAATGGGGAGCCAGTGACCGCCTGGGAAAACAGCACTTCAAGTAACTTCTAGACCCAAGAACGAACAGTTAACATACCCAACCGTAGTTGCAAGACTGGTCATAGCCTTGTGTGTGGCCTCTCGAGTTTGACGACTGTTATCGAAAACTAGCTTCTTGTATTCAAAAACCTGAACTCAAAAAGATAAATCGCTGTACTGCCAAAGAGAAAGGAAAGGATGGTGTGCATACCCACGATGGTAGAACGGGTAAAACTTCCGCGGCTGGACGCTCCTGGAAAAATGCAGTCAAAACAGCGAGAGCTTTTATCTGTTTGAAAAAAAAAGCAAGAGGAATATCAGAACTAGACACTACGTAAAGGACTAGAAATGCAACGTACCTTTGTTATTGGATCCTTCTTCGACAATCTCCGCAAATTCGCAGCCGTCTCTCCATCGATACTCTACCACACCACACAATCCCTCACAATTACACCGAAATAACACCACATTCCATACCGCATACGTCTCCTCACTCGGCCCAGCGTCAATCCGCGCGCTGCCGACATATCCTCCAAATCCAGCGCTCGCATTGCCCTGCGACAGCGCCGCCGCCAAGCTGCGCACAGGAATTCCATTAAATCCACAGCCGATCGAGCGACGCATTACCTGCTGCTGGACGGCCGCCCCTTGCCGCGAGCGCCATCGCCCTTCGTCCTCCCCATAACCCCTTAAACCCTAAAATAGGATAAACAGAGCTTCCCCATATGTACAAGGGTGATGATTTATTACCTTTCCCCTTAGGCACATTTACAAAACGAATCTATTACAAAGAATCTCCTCCCTATCTTTTTGGCGATCCTTGTCAATGCCCAAACGAATGTAAGCACTCCCTGGGAGCTCTCCAAAACATCCTCACTTCTCGGCTCTCCTGGGACGATAGATGCCTGTACCGATTCCAATCCTCGAGCACCAGCTTCAAATCCACAAGCTTCCTCTCCAGCTTGGTGCAGCAATTCGCGTGAATCGTGCACACCTCGTCGAAGTCCCTGCTGATCTGACAAAACCCGCCGTAGTATCTGGTATCCAGGAAGCGAACCTTGAGCTTGAGAGCCTTGAACTGGGGGCTGTGCTTGATGTCGTTAAACACGTCCTGGTCGTGATGGTTTGGGTGCTTGAGTCGCGACTCGTACCAGAGCTTGTAGAGGGCGATCGTCCGGGGGCTCGAGATGGCGTGGATGAAGCCACCGTTGGGATCGTTCCTGAGGTCCTCGGGGTTTCCATTGAAACGGTCGCAAGCTATCTCGAAGTCGGCCTCGGGAGAAAAGTGCTGGAAGGGATCGCGAAACCACATTATATCCGCGTCCTGCAAGCACGAAAGAGCTTTAGTTTATAAGATCCAGCTCTTATGACAGTGGCACGAACTTAAATATAGAACGACTCTCATACAAGTTCAAGCAAAACATAAATTCTACAAGGATAGTATAACCATCATGCAACAGCCAAAATCCTTGAGGAGAAGAGATAGAAAACAATTCTCCGGATTCCTTGACCAAACAAGAATAGTTTTCTCGTCATCTCCGGAAACAATAAAGCAAACAACAAATTTAACTAAGAACCATGTGGAACGGACAGACGAAGCCGGCACAAATCAATCAAGGCATCCAAAGTACGCAAACCCTTTGGAACGTGACAGGGAACAAGAGCCGAGTCAAAACCAAACAGGCAGTTCCAAACGACGAGAAGTTGTGCTGAAAAAAAAAGGAAGAAGAAAAACACATACCGTGAAAACGAAGTTGTAGCCGAGCTTGAGCACGATGTGTAGAAACTCAACTCTCCTCCACATCATCTTGAGATAGTCGGAGCTCATGAAGACCTTCTCGCCGGTAAAGTCGACGCCATCGGTGGCGAGCTTGAAGCAGTGCCTGTGAAGCTGCAAGCACCGAGTGTGAGAGGCCTGGTCGAGATTGACGATGAGCAAATGGTCGAGCAGCCCGCGGGTGCCATCTCCCAGCCGGAAACTTTGGAAGAACGCGTCGACCATGCTATCGTTGTCAGCCCACGATTTGTTGAGAGTTGTGAGTATTACTGTTTTGTTACGGAAGGCCACCTCCGCGAGACTCGCCTTTAGAGTGCTCACGTCCTGCGCCAAAGGAAGGAAAAAAAATCTCCACGGTTAGCGCAAAGCCACAATAGTGCCAATAGATATGTATCACACAAAGACAAAAAAGTTTAAAAGAACCACGGCATTGATCGATCGAGCAAGGAAGTTTCGACCAGATTTCGATTTCGATTTCGATTTCCAGGCGCCGAGGAAAGAATCGATGGGGATTTGCTCGAAGAAGGAGAGATTCGGAGCTGGGGGAGGGAAACCTGGAAGAATTTGGGACCAAGAAAAGAAAGCGAGGAAAGATTTCGAGCGAAATCGGAGCCGCGGAGCTGGAATCTCTCGAAATATCACCCGATCGCAGGCCAAGCATCCTGGGAAAGTGGAAAAAGAGGATAGAGGAGCGCACCGGAGCGGAGGATTGGCCGTCTTGATACCAGAGGAGATACGACTGGGTCTTGCGCGAGAGGAGCATCATCGTCTTGCCATCATCGGACATGTAGACCACGGCGAAGAGGATCACGCACACCAGCGCGGCCAGAACTCCCAGGAAAGCTGACCAGAAATTCGCCCTGCTGATGGCGTTGCTACTGCTGCTGCTACTAGCGCACCCTGGCCCGCCCATTTCCTGCCTAGAAATCTCTAAGAATTCACCGCGCGCCTGTCATGGATCGCAAGGCGCTCACATTTCCAGCGCGATCGCTCCACCAGCGCCTTGACCACGGTATTTCGCCAGCAGTCGAAACGGACCGCCATGGGAGCTTAAGAACGACAGGCTGTACGAAAGAATGCCCCAAATAGTACGGCATGAGCCCACAAAATAAACTAAACCCCCCAGTTCATGCCATTTAGCCATGTGTAACGCCACGTATGCCCTAATCACTCGCCAGTTAAAACTTTTTCGCTTGGTGTTCTTCCCGTGTGCTTGGAGTGCTTGTGTAGATCAACTTAATGTTTCTGCGAAGTTCCTGGGCCATCTAGAAATGCTGTAATAGAAATCTTATTGTGTAGCAATGGTAGCTACAGCTCTAACAAGCTGCTATACACAAAGTAAAAGTACCTCTTTTTTCTCTTTTGATTTTCCTGGCTTTAGATTCGCTTAGAACGCTTGCAGCTTCTTGCAGTTTGGAGTCTCGCTGATCTTTCCCCAGGCCCGGAGATTGAGCTCCACCCGGCAATTGTGCGTCAAAACATCGCGGTAGTCTCGCTCAACCTGGGCCTCGACTTGCTCGCGGACCCTCGATCCAAGCGGGTGTTCCTGGTGAAAACTCGGCGACTTGACAAAGTAAGGCACACCTCGGTTGTGAGTACTTAGCTCGTGAAGATATGGCGATTGCCGCTCGAGGGAGTAGTAACTGGGCTGCGACATCGGGAAGGACGTGAGAGCGATCACCAGAAAGATGAGTACCAGGTGGACGATCCCGGTGAGGTTGATCGACTGTCCACCCTCGGGGGCCCTGGCCATCCCCGCGGGAGTTCTCACAAAATGCTGCCTTTGGAAGTTCCGACCCTGGCCGCCAAAGAAGAAGGCCTGGAAGATCTCGTCCGGATCGAAGTGATCGTCGAAGAAATCGTTCCTGCGCCGGCGCATCCCCTGCTGCTGGTGCTGGTGCTGGGCGAGATTCCTCGCCTCCTCCGGCCCGTATCGATCGTATCTCTCCTTGAGCTCCGCGTTGCTCAAGCACTGGAACGCTCTAGACACCGACTTAAACGCCTCCTCGGCGCCCGCCGCCTTGTTCTTGTCCGGGTGGACTTTGAGCGAGAGCTTCCGGTACGCCCTTCTCACGTCCTCCTCCGAGCACTCCTTCCCCAGCCCCAAAATCTCGTAGTAGTCTACTGTCCGATTGATGCGCACCACAATCTCGATCTGCTCCGGGGAGGGATCGCTGCTGGCCGTGGTGCTGCTGGCCGTGTCCTTGACCTCGGATTCGTGCTCGCCGTTCCTCTGCGAGCTGCCCTTAGATCCTCCCGAGCTCTTTCGATTGTCGTCCTCCTCCCCAAGCCCCAGCTTGGAGGCCAATTCTCTTACATCTAGATCTTCCGGCCGGAGGCGCCGAGCTATGGAGACGTACTTACGAGCGCGCGACTTGTCGCCAGATTCGATTGCTGCCCTGGCTATCTGGACGCAGCGCTCCGCCTCCCCTCTATTGCTTTCCATCGATCGATCCAAAGAGAAAACCCTATCCTTGCCCTAAGAAACGCCAATATCTGACGGAATATCTCTTTTATGATAGAATATTCTATTTCGCATGTATTTAGAATGTATTACTACAGAATATTCTATTGATGCATAATTTGACGTGACGGAATATTCTTATTTAGCCTCCTCAATCTAGGGTTCTTCTCGGCTATGGCGGACGGGAGCTTCAAGTCCCCGACTCCATCGCCATCGCCGTCGCATTCAGCTGGCCACAACAAGCGCAAGAGGAGCGCAGCAGCTGCCGGTCTCTTGGACGAGCCCTCCAGCATTCCAGCGATGGTAGGCATGCATCACAATCCGTCTTCCGTGTTTGGGCTAGGGTTCTCTCATGCGATGGAATCCGGGATAATGCCGGATGATAGCAGGGAGAATGGGAGCCAGCTAGGTGGAGGAGGCGATGGCGGTGGCAGCAAAGGGGAGGAGTATGACGACGAGGACGAGGATGGGAATGACGACGAAGGGGAGGAGGATGAGGAAGAGGATGGAGAGCAAGACGATGAGGACGATCAGGAGACGACGACGAGCTTGCCTCTGCAGCAAGGACCGCTTCGCCCGCCCGCATTGAATCTTCCAGTGGTTTCGTCGGTCAAGGTGGAAGCAGCCGAGCAAAAGGATTTGCTATCGTCGCAAATGGCCTTTGGCAATTTACCACAGCCTGTGACGGTGACCGTCAAGGAGGAATCGACCAAGCCTACGCTGGTGGAGACGATCCAAACCAGTGGAGCGTACTGTGCGCGAGAGGAAAATCTCAAGAAAGAGGTACTTTCCTGGAATTGAGTTCCAACCTTCTTTGTCCATTTTTTTTCCTTTTTCTTGGCAGGAAGACGCTGGAAGGATCAAGTTTGTCTGCTACTGCAATGACGGTGACGACCAACATATGATTTGGTATAGTTTTTAGCAATGCAGTGAACAACTGGTTAATTTTCTTCTCAGGCTTGTTGGGCTCAAGAACATCTTTTCTCGTCAGCTGCCAAACATGCCAAAGGATTACATCGTCCGTTTGGTCATGGACAGGTATAGAAGGTCCTTTTTTTCTCATTTTCCAACACCTTGTGGAGCAGGAGCCATAAGTCTATGATGATTGTGAAGCACAACCAAGTTATAGGCGGCATCACTTATCGTCCGTATCCAAGGTGTGTGTGTCTGCATTAGAATAAAGAAATGCACAGTCAGTATGATTTGATGAAACGACTTTGTCCTCAGTGCAGCCAAAAGTTTGGAGAGATAGCATTCTGTGCAATCACAGCGGACGAGCAAGTAAAAGGCTTTGGCACGAGGCTCATGAACCACCTAAAAAAGTATGCTCGGGACGAAGACGGGCTTACTCATTTCCTCACGTATGCCGATAACAATGCAGTGGGTTACTTTTCAAAGCAGGTGATTTTTGTTTTTGCTATTCCAAAGGCGATAGAAAACTGAACCTGAATGTTAATCAGGGATTTACCAAGGAAATATTTCTAGATAAAGAGATTTGGCACGGGTGAGGTTCCAGTTTCACTCTTTTTCAGTTCTCATACTTTTCTCGTTGCAGATACATCAAAGATTATGACGGTGGAACATTAATGGAATGTAGGATCGATCCAATCTTACCTTACATAGATCTCCCGGCGATGATTAGATTACAACGGCAGGTAACAAATCCGTGTGCAGTTTTAATCGCTCTTTTAACAACGTTATGTTCCAGGCAATAGATGAGAAAATTCGGGAGCTTTCAAACTGCCACATAGTTTACCCTGGATTGGAAATCCTCAAGGTCGACATGTTTTTCTTCTTCTTCTATTTCATGCTAAAGAACGCACTGCAGAAGGACTTCAATGTTCCACGGAGGCCTTTGAGACCCGAAGACATACCAGGTCTAAGTACGTGGTTTCCTAGGGTGAGGATCTTGTTGAGCTAATGTCTGCGCTGTTGGAACAGAGGAAGCTGGATGGACGCCAGACCAACTGACCACTTCTCGTATAAGATTTGTAAACTCACCGAATGATGGGCCGCCAACGAGGCAAGCCCTTCAGGGACTCATGCGTTCCATGTTAAAGGTACTGTTACTTCCATCGTTTCGCGATCGAGAAGAGTTTTTTGGTTCTCCAGCTGGTTTGCGATCACTCGGAAGCTTGGCCGTTTAGAGAACCGGTGGATGCGCGTGAGGTGCCGGACTACTACGATATAATCAAAGATCCCATCGGTAACTTCCGTAAGCTGCCCCATCTCGTTTTAAGTTTGGTCTTCTCGTTCCAGATTTAAAAACCATATCCAGGAGGCTGGAGAGCGAGCAATTCTACTTGACGCTGGAAATGTTCGTAGCCGACCTGAAACGGATGTTTGGGAACGCCAGGGTCTACAACTCACCGGAGACGATCTACTTCAAGTGCGCAAACAGGTGATCCAGCACTTTTCTTCTTGTTTATAATCAGTAGAGTCCTTGTGCTCCACAGGGTGGAAGACTTCTTCACGAACAAGCTCAAGTCGTGCGTTACTTTCCTCCGGGGTGATGCATCGTAAACATGAATTGTCGTACTTCCCCATTCTTTATTGTACGGTAGTGGGAATAGCAGGTACGGACATGGAAAGGGGCCGCACGTGCTAGCATGGTCCAGAGAGAAATCACTTGAATTATGGGTCAAGAAAATCCGCCCGACTTTGAATACTGGACTAAATCTCCTTGGGATCACTTCTTTCTTTTCTCTCTTTTGTCTTAGCGTACATAAAAAGACTCGCTGCCAAAGATGATTCCATTGTCTCCTTCTGGAGCGTGGGATCCAGGCTCGGAATAATCAACGCTGGGCGGCAGCCACAGCGACGAGACTTGATCCATCCCAAACATTATCATCTGGCTTTGGAGCTCCAACTCGTGAGCGGCATTCGCGAAGAAGTGGTCATGGTGTTGTCCGGGAACCATTTGGTCGTCACTGATTTCGATGCTTGATTCTTCTGAGGTGTCTATCGATGTTGCGGATCCGAGGTAATCTTGGTGATCCGTGATGTGAGTTTCTCTAGGATGGTCTTTCCCTGAAACCCTTGTACTACTACTCGTGGGATCATGCTTTAAGTCATGCTTGTTCCTGGAATCTATCGGACGCGAGCAATCGGACGAGCTCGACTTGGAGATGGGGGATTTAAACTCGTTGGCGCTGCCATCGTCCGTGAGCGCGGAGGAAATCGAGGAGAAGGAGAGGCTGTGGCAAAACTTGGAGGATCTCGACTTGGATGTCGGCTCGGCCATTGGGCTGTTGGCCAGTGGCTTGTGGGTCTTTGGATTGATGCCCAGCTTGAGCAGCTTCTTCCCGAGATGGAAGTTCCAGTAGTTTTTAATCTCATTGTCGCTGCGGCCAGGGATTCTACCCGCGATGATAGACCATCTGTTTGGACAGAAAAGATTTCCAAAGAGAGATTTAAATCAAACCCAAGTGGATGGAATGTTTTTCTTGGTGTGTATGATACCTGTTGCCAAGTAGCGAATGCAGCTTGATTATCAGTGCGTCTTCGTCCTCTGAGAAACTTCCCCTCTTGAGATCCGGGCGGAGATAGTTGAGCCATCGTAGGCGGCAGCTCTTTCCACACCGCAGCAGGCCTGGCCAGGAACAAAATCGCGATCAAAACCATGGATTCTCGATGAGAAAATGCAGCAGGAACACCATATTTCAGAGAATAATCGCGCAAATTCAAGCACGGAATCACAGAAGAACAACCTGCCGCCTTGGGGACCTTTCGCCAATTCCCTCGATCCCCATACAATTTCATGTGGCGCAGGAGCAGCGCATCCTCCTCCAACGTCCAGGGACCTCGCCGCAGCTGGGATTCATTGCAACAAGTGCAAGAAGCCGAGGGAGAAGAAGAAGAAGTGCAAGACAGCGATGGCGATGATCCGGCAGGAGCTCTTGGTGCCATGGCGATGCTGGAAATTGCCGTCCTCGGTCGAAAAACGATCGATCATTGGGAGGGGGGACAGAGTGACGAAGATGAAGAACACCAGCCGAGGAAACAACCCAGGAAGGCCACCAGTTTTTCCACACATTATATTCCCGTAGCTTGAAATTCCCGCCAACGTGTACGATCGAATTTATCCTAAGCATATTCCCTCCTTACCTGTTGTGCAATGCTGGGAACACGTGTCGCTGTGGCATGGACGAGTTCTTCGCAAATCCGGGGCCTCCAGTGATTCAGGAGGAGCTAGGGTTTCGTGAGAATGCTCGCGATCTTCGGGAAATCGGTGGCGCAAGCGCCCGAGCAGCTCAGCGCAGCTTGCGGTGACCATGGCGAAGGAGGAAATGGGGGAGGATCGCCCGATCTGGTGAGCTCCTTCCGAGAATCCTATCCCGAAGCGGTCGTGTTTCAAGCCGGCGAAGCGGCGATCGCCTACAGCCATGAGCGCCAGGCATTGCTCAAGCCGAGGTAGGCAAGTTTTTCTCCCAGGAAAGTTCTTGCAAGGGATTGGATTGGATGAGATGGAATATTGACCAACGATGAACACCAGGACTTTTGCTGTGGCGGACGATATCTTCTGCGTGTTTGAAGGCATCCTAGAGAATCTCACGTCGCTCAAGCAGCAGTATGGCCTCTCGAAGGTGGCCAACGAGGTGCTCATTGTCATCGAAGCGTACAGGAATTTGAGAGACCGGGCACCATACCCGACTGACCATATGATCCGCGAGTGGAAGGGCCACTTTGCCTTCGTCCTCTTTGACAACACAACACAACGCGTACTCGTCAGTGCTGTGAGTGGCCGAGAATTTTCTTCGTGATGGAGGACTTTCTGTCGCTCTCGTTCTACGCTTTTTCTTTCCTCTTTCCAGGATTGTCAAGGAAAAGTTTCGCTCTTTTGGGGGGTCACGTCGGAAGGCTCGCTGGTTTTCTCGGACGACTTTGACGTTCTCAAGAATGGGTGCTTCAAATCTTCGTCTCCATTTCCACCTGGTAAGGAGGACTTTAGCTTGTGATAGAATAGAATATCTAGTGATTGGTTGTGCACAGGATGCTTCTTCTCGAGCGAGCAGGGGCTCCAGAGCTTCGATCACCCGCTGAACGAAGTGAAAGCCTCGCCCAGGGGGAAAGGCAAAGACGGAGTAAAGTTTGAGGTGGATCGGCCAGAGCAACCTGTGGGCGATGGACCAGGTTGGGCGTCTGCGTTCTAAATGGAGAGGAAGAAGTTTGCGAAAGACACGGTACCTCCGCTTGCCTCGTGCATCTGCGAATTATTTGACTTCACTGCCTCTTGCTACTGAGTTTAGTCATTGAATAAATTGACTGGGGGCCAAGAGAACACAAGAAGAAATAAGATGATTTCCCATGCTTTGAAATTTTCGGTTTACAGCCAGTCAACGAAAACCGGATGCTAGCGATGGGGTCCATCGCTAGCATCGCTTTCATTCCTCTCTTTGCTTGGACCTCGAGTCTGAATTTCCCAGGTGCTCCACCTCGGGTGTTCCTGCTCAAAGAAAAAGTTTTGTATTCAAACTCAAATTATAACTCAAATAAGTTCTGTGAATTCCAATTTGCTCCAATGGAAATTTCAATTTTTAACATAATTCCCTCAACTAAAGGTCCATGTATGTTATACTACTATGACTTTGCATATGGGATCCACACCTGTACTTTCGTTGAGCACCTTTCACATGGTTTTTATAGGCTGAAGCCTTCATAAATTCTTGTCCGGCACTTTTTATTTCTCACACATGATCGAATCAGATGATGGTTGAAGCTTGCTTGTGATTTGTACTTTCATTTGTAGCTGAGTGCATATTAATTTGGCAGCAATAGGTACTTTTCCTGCAAGATTTTGGGTGGCCAGGTGCTCAAGGACCAAGAAAGCTGAACATCCATACTCATACAAGTGATACTGGAGTACTTTCAACAAGTGCTCTAGTTGGGCCTTGGAAAACTTCTTCTGGTATTCTAGTCTTGCTGGGGTAATCCTCTATCTCTAGTTGAAGAAAATGTTGGAGATGACAACTCACAAGGTATTTCCAATGTTGTGGTATATGGTTATGCAGGATAATAGTGACACTTGGGTGCTAGTGTGCTCACTCCAAAAAATTAAGCCCCAAAGCTTCAATGCCACCAATTGGTCAAAGGTATAGTTAGTGCTAATTTGAGTGTGCCTATGTTGTGCCAACAGTAGAATGGCCTGGACATATGCTAAACCACCTCTAGCCTGAACAATACATAAGCTTCACAACATACACTATGCAAAGCAATATATCAAAGGTTACACTTTCCAAATTTAGTCTGATGGATGATTTGCCATTTTTTATATTTTTTGATAATGGTTATACATCTCTTTTGATTGGGTGATTGATGATTTCTAGTGGTTAATTGTTTTTTTTTGTATAACTTTTGGCTTTCCATATTACCATATATTCTTTATGGTTTATTTTGGATTGGTATTTTCATTATGCTTATCAATCGATGATAGTTTGTGTTTTTTGAGCTATTTTTTATAATTTTTTTGGCATGTTATCTATAATATTTGGTAGTTAAACTTTATCATTAAGTTTTTTTTATGATATACTTGCTATTAAATTTTTTTGGATAGTTAATCCTATGTTTTCAAACTATAATGATCTTTCTATTTTATTAGATGATAATTTTCTTGAAATACTTTTGTATTCTAATCTAAGATTTATTCACTGATAATTTTGTCTAAGATATCATTGTGATATTGTCTATCATATTGCTCTTGAGTTTTGACTAGTATAAGCAAACTGCCTTTGGCATTTCATATGCATAATAAAATCTTTAGTCATGGGATGGCTAATTATCTTAATGTAGGGAACAACAATTAGTTGAGACAAAGCCGATGCGCAGATAGTAAGTGTAATGTATATGGTTTTCATCATTTTGTAAACCACAAATTTTTCTTTTCCGATTTGCTACCTTACCTCGTTTATCTGACCACCATGGCCTGGCCTTAGTTAAGTTCCCTTACCAAGGTTCCCACTTATTATATCAACTCCTACATGGTTTTACTTGATTTTAACAACTCATTGCACGAACAATGGAGTATTAGCCATCCATCCACAGATTTCTAAATTCCCTCTTAATCCCCCTCCTTAGGTTAAATTGGACTTAAGGTTTAGCTACACTCCCCATAAGCACAAGTAGTTAAGCATACCAAACTTCCAGATTCCTAATATCCTTTAGTACAACAAAACTTGATCATAGAACCCTCTAAGTCCCGTCTTGGATGCAACACTTATTTCAGGACATCAGGGGAAACACCATAGCATAACAGCCCGGTATGGGTACCCTTACTCCCCCACTTCCATCCCGAAGGGAATGCCTAATCCCTTAGGAAGGGCAAGGACTAATGAGAAAAGTACTCAAGTGGGGCACTACTCCATATAAGTCAGGAGCACCACAATTGATTTCCCTTTTAGGAGTGGGAGTTTCTCTTGAGCACTTCCTTGGGTGGCCCCTCTGGCACCACTTGAGTCCATGCTCACTCCCACCCAAAGCCCTTTAACCCCAGTCTCAACCTCAAGTCAATTTAGAAGTACCACTAAAGAGTTCCTTCAAGACTGGTTCATGGACTTCACTATCTCTACTATACTTTTGGAACCCCCTGTAGCCCCAGGAGACACATGCTTTGGGCTTTCACCCCACGACCTGTATTAGTATTTGGACTCGACCTTGGATTCGGTCTCAAAATCGATCTCAGACTCGATCTTGGATCCAACTTCGGACTCTATCTCAAACTCAGTCTCGGACTCAGTTTTGGACCTGATCTCGGATCTTGGACTCGGTCTTGATCTTGGTTTCAGACTCGGGCTCAAACTTGGTCTCAGAGTTGATCTTAGACTCAATCTCGGACTCGATCTTGAACTCAGTCTTAGAGTCAGTCTTGGACTCGATCTCAGACTTGGTCTCATCTTATAAACTCTTTATCATTTTTGTTGTGTTTTCGGGGATCCTTTAGCCTTCGACACCTCGAGGAGTTGGTTCCTTACACCTTGATCTTATTGTGATTTATAGGATAAACACAAAGGAAACTTAAACTACCATGTGCTACGTGTTACATGCCTTGTGTCTGAAGATAGTGGAGTAGAATCTAAGTTTCAAGGCCTTAGGCCACTGAATGAAGGTACAAAGCCAAACTCCCAAACTTGCAACCAAGGAGTAAATGAATCAAAGCACAGAGTGACTCTTAAACATTTAACCCAATGAGCGAAGGGACAAAAGCACAAAGAGATGTAGGAACATTTTTAGAGTATCTAACATCCTAATGCCAAAATTAGCAAGAAAAATGGAGCCAAATAGAGCCAAACAAATGTAAGGAACTAACTCCTTGAGGTGTTGTAAGTTAAAGGATCCTTAGAACCATGACTAAAATGATAAAAAGTTCATCGGATGAGACCGAGTTTAAAATCAAGTCCAAGACCGAGTTCAAGATTGAGTTCGAGACTGAGTCTGAGGTCCGAGATTGGGTCCGAGATTGAGTCCGAGATCGAGTCAAAGGTCCAATCCGAGGTCAAGTCTGAGATCGAGTTCAAGATCAGGTTTAGGAAACAGTCTTGAAGGAACTTTCCAGTGGTGCTTCTAAACTGATTTGAGGTTGAGATTAGGGGTTAAAGGCCTTGGGTGGGAGTGAGCATGGAGTTGGGTGGTGCTAGAGAGGCCACTTGAGGAACTGCTCAAGAGTAGCTCCCACTCCTAAAAGGGAAATTGATTGTGGTGCTCCCAACTCATGTGGAGTGATGTGTAAAGAACCAACTCCCTGAGATATTGTAGGTTGAAGGATCCCTAAAAGCATGACCAAAATGATAAAGAGTTCATCGGATGAGACTGAGTTCGAGACTGAGTTCAAGATCAAGTTCGAGACAGAGTCCGAGGTCGAGCTTGAGATTGAATTCAAGACCAAGTTCGAATACTAATACAGGTTGTGGGTGATAAGCGCAAAGCGTGTGTCTCCTGAGGGGGGCTATAAGGGGATAGTAGGGATAGTAGGGATAGTAGTCTTAAAAGAACTCTCCAGTGGTGCTTTTAAACTGACTTGAGGTTGAGATTGGGGCTTAGGGGCCTTGGGTAGGAGTGAGTGGTGCTGGAGGGGCCA